GTTTTTGCTGGTTGAGATAAGGATAGCCAAACAGGGAGTTGACTCACATTTATTTCCTATGTGTGTGTGTTACCTTCACAAGGCCCTATCTTGAAAACACCCATCACACACAAAAAAAGGACTGGTGGGGTGGCTCAAGGTGTAGGCCCTGAGTTCAAGCCCCAGTACTGCCAAAAAAAAAAATTAAATTAGACATTATATAATGCATATGCAACAAAACAGTACTGTGTGTACACAATGTTTATGTGTATACTGTGTTTATGTGTGTGTATGTGTGTAACATTTAACACTGACTTTGTTCAGTCGATATGTTTTTATGTAGAGTCCAGGCATAAGTCTACCCAGGAGTAATTGTAGAAAGTTTCTCTTTTCTGATGATCATGAAGTGCCCCTCGAGCTGGGCTCACACACTGCTTGTGTATTTCATATGTTGTTTATTTGGTTTGTATGTTTTGGAAGCCTGAAAAATTTTGTGCAAAAATCCTTGCCATGAATTTTTCTTGGAAAATTGGAAGATTGTATCATATCAATACTTTTCTGCATTCTGCATCACTTGGCTGCAGCTGAGTTGCTGCATGTTTACTGCCTCTGGGGACAGCCATTCTTTCCAGTTATCCTTTATCCCACTCCCTCCTGTCTTTCCTGCTTGCTGTTTCCATTGCATTGGAGTCATGAAAAAAATGCTTGAGTTCAGGAAACTTTGTAGCATGTGTGTGATAGTTGTTAATTGGACAGAATATTTGGTCAAATTAGATCAGTTAATTCTAGATAAGTAAACTTTATGTCTAATGACTCTACTTTGTATGATCTTTATGATTTACCACCAAATATCACTGATTTTATGGGGGAATTCTTTTGTGTGTATGTGGGTTTTGGTAAAACTTGGTCTCATGTTTGTTAGGCAGGTGCTCTACTTTAGCCCCAGTCCTTTTTCTTTTTCTTCTTCTTATTTTTCAGTTAGGGTCTCATGTGCTTTTGCCCTGGCCAGCCTGGACTGTGGTCCTTCTAATTATGTCTCCTCTGTAGCTGGAATGACAGAAACATGCCACCGTGCCGAGTTTTCTTTTTAAAATTTGAGATGGGGGGGGTCTCACTAACTTTTTGCCTGGGCTGTCATTGAACCACTGTCCTTCCTGATCTCTACCTTCTGAGTAGCTGGGATTGCAGTTTAGGCTCCTTAGATGGGTCGGGGGTGTGGCAAGTAGTAACTTCCTTGCCTTGCATGGGTGAAGATCTGGTCTGCATCCCTAGCACTGCAAAAACAAAACACAACAATAACAAAAAAACACCCCAAACCAAAAAATAAGAACACACATACACACAAAAATCCCAGAAGAAGACAAAAAAAAAAAAAAAAAACCAAACCTGAGATTTTCTTGCATCACTATTTTTGTTTTTATTTACTTTCTATTTTTTTTCTACTCTTGAGAATTGCAGTGTAGCTAATACTAATAGAACTCATTTTATCACAGTTTATTAAAGTATTTTGCTTGTTTTTGTCTTTTATCACTATTGGGTATGAGAAGGTAAAAGTGATTATGATATGTGCATAAAAGCACAAAAAATGTAAAATTAGAGCTTAACAAATAATGTTACTACAGAAACTATCATTTTGCAGTTCAAAAAATCTAATTGCTTCTCAGCCTTTTGGCTAAGATGAAGTGTAGTATCTATTCTTACCAGTTTACTATCTGATATGTCCTCTATTCAAGGACAATATAGTAAGTGGATTTTTGGAACAGGGAAATGGAATAGGAGCTTTCCCCGTCCATTCCACTCATCCATCTGGCATTGCAGTACCTCCAGGAGCAGTGCACCACCCCTCCTGGGTTTTAGCTGAGCTCTGGTGCTTCACACCTGTAATCCTCACTACTCAGGAGGATCCAGTTCAAATAGTTTGTGAGATCCTATCTTGAAAAAAGTCCTTTACAAATAATTAGGGCTGGTGGAGTGGCTCAAGGTGTAGGCCCTGAGTTCAAACCACAGTCTGCCAAAAAAAAAAAAAAAAAAAGCCCCACAAAAAATAAAAAACAGCAACAACAAAAAAAACCTGTTGGACTGGGGACATGCTCATATGGTAGAGCACCTGCCTAGTAAGAGCCAGTTCCTTGAGTTCAAACTCTAAAACAGCCAAAAAAGATAAAAAAAGAGGCTTATTTGGAAATGTCGCAAAGAATCCCCCCCCACACAATGAATATACCTTAACAAAAAAACTTTTATGTAGCCTTCCCTGTTCTAAACTTCCTCTTTCCCCAGAGGTTAATACTATTTGTTGTAAAATAATAATCTCCTTTTATTTACAGTGTTGCCATCCTTGTAGCTTCTTTAGATTATATAGTCAAGTTTTGCAGATTTTTAATAAATGGAGTTGCACTATTTGTAGTCTCCAGTGTTATCTTTTACTAAGTATCATTTATGAGAATCATCTAATTCGTATTGCTCTAGATTTTATTCTAGTTCTGTATAGGAACATAGTTCATTATTGATCCTTTCTACTCATGAACAGTTAAGTTGTTTCTAGGTTTTGGTTTTTAAAAGCAATATAGCAAAATAGCCTGGTCTTGGTGGCTTACGCCTGTAATCCTACCTACTTGGGAGGCTAAGATCAGGAGGATTGAGGTTTGAAGCCATCTAGGTTAAATAGTTCATGAGATTCCATCTCCAAAACAACCGGTAGAGTGCCTGCTTTGCAAGCTGGAAGCCTCAAATTCAAACCTCAGTCCCTCAAAAGAAAAAAAAAAGGCAATGCAACTAGGAACTTTTCTGTACATGTACCCTAGTATATACTTTTATTAGTTTCTTGCAGGTATATATGTAGGAGTGAGTGGGATAGCTGGGGCCTTAGGGCATGACTATTTTCAAGTTTACTAGCTAATCTCAAATTGTTTCCTAAAGTGATTGTACCTTTACTTCTCCATCAGTATGTGAATGTGAAGATACAACATCTATAATAAGTAAAAAGAAAATAGGGACACATTTTCTTTTCACCTTTTATACACATACATACTCTAAGGGCTGGTTGATGATTTTTTTAAAGATTAATATTATGTAATACCCAAACCCCTTTTTTAGCTTTGAAGGTAGTAAGTATTGCCTTAATAAACTGTCGTATACCTTTGCTTCCTACCTCTGTAATTAAGATGTTCGTCGTATCTTTCAAATAGCAAGAAAACAATACTTTCTGCATTGGCAAAATGTATTTTTTCTTTCACTCAAACATTTGTATTTTCTGGGGCAATGCTTTAAACAAGAGTTCTCTAGTAATTTTCAGAAAAAGTGACAAACACTAATGTTTACCTGTAATTGTTTACATAGTTCTAGTCTTTTTCATTATGTACATGAACTTAGTTTTAAAAAGTGATTTTTTTCTTGTTTATTTGTGGTTTATGTCACATATTTGTTTCTGTTGATGCCAGTCAACATATTTATACCTTGTCTTTTCTCCAGTTATGTTATTTCCTTTTCCCATTGCTTGCTATATCTACCTTTTGTCTTCATGTATAGTACTGCTGGATATATCTTTTGAGTTTCCAATTTTTGAAGTGAAATTATTTCTTTGGGGTATTTCTCAAAATTGAATAACTTTTCAGGGTGTAGTTGATAACAGTTGTGAGATATTGCTGTATAGTTCCAGGAATATCATATACCCATTCACAGGATACTATCTATATCTTATTTCCTTGGATCCCTACGGGGGCGTACATTGTAGTTTAAAAAAAAAAAAATTACTTTTGTTAGTTTGACCAACTTGCATGCCTTAAAATGTGTTTTAATATCAATAGCACTTTAGGAATTTTTTTCTATATGATGATTTGTTTGTCCTGGGCAAATTTATTATAGATGGCTTTATCAGGATAAATTTTGGAATTGAGCTAATATGGATTTTACATGGCTGCCTTCTTTGATCTGCCTGTCTTCTTCTGCTTCTCTCTCCTCCCTCTCTCTCCCTCTCTCTCTCTCCCACCCTCTCTCTCCCACCTCTCTCTCTTAGTACCTTAACACTTGTACTTGAGCCATGCCTCAAGGCCTTTCTGTCTCTTAATGTCCAAACTTTTGATTCTAGTTAGATCTCTAGAAGTTTTAGCCTTGAGGTCAGGTAGCTGAACCAAAATGCTTTTGGCATAAGGGATGCCAGGGTTAGATTTCTAGGGACTAGGATTTCTTCAGAGCTTCTGACCCGAGTAAATTCCTGGAAAATGTAATGTCATTTGGAGATTATTTTCCTTTCTCTGTGGGCTGAGCTTTTTTTTTTTTTTTTTAAATTTTTGATAGAAGATATGAGAACTGAGATGAAGAAAATGTGCAATACTGAATTTTACTGTTATTTGAATTATGATTACAGGCAGTAATTACTTTAATGCATGAATAAAGAACACATATATTACTGTAACATGAATTTCTTTTAATATTTTTTATACCTATAGAGATTCTCCTTTATTTATAATGGGGTTATGTCCCACTAAGCCCATCATAAGTTGCAAAAGGTGTAAGTGAAAATGCATTTAATATATCTAACTTACTGAACATCATCGCTTAGCATCGCCTACCTTTGATGTGCTGAGGACACTTCTGTTAGTCTGTAGTTGGGCAAAATCATATAACACACAGCTTATTTTATAATAAAGTATTGAATGTCTCATGTAGTTTATTGGCTGTACTCAGAATGAATAATAAAATGTTTATATAGGTATGACTGTGTCATCATAAAATCAAAATATTGAAAGAGAGGATATCATTAATTGGAATTTGTCTTACTGATTTTCATCAGTATGTGTGTATGTGTGTGTGTTTATCCTTTTTGATGGCTACTTGAAACTCTACCTCAAAAATAATGAAAGCAAAGATATGCTATTGTGTGACTCAAGTGGTAGAACTCCTGTCTAGCAAATATGAGGCCCTGAGTTCAAACTTCAGTGCCAGGACAAAAAAAAGTTTCAGCCATATTTATTAAGATTAGGTTACTAATATAATGTTCTTACAGAATTTTGATTTCCTCACAGGTAACACAAGTAGCAAGACAGCCGGGACCCCCAGCCCCTTCCCCTTACTCAGCACATGAAATAAACAAGGGGCATCCAAATCTCCCAGCAACGCCCCCGGGACATGCATCGTCCCCTGGACTCTCTCAAGTAAGAAAAGCAGTTTTTTTTTTTTAAAGAAACTTATAAAACCACCATTTCTGTTTTTGTAAAGTAGACTTTAAAGAGACTATTAAGCAGTAACATAAAGCATTGCTTGATGAGTAATAGTTGGTTGTTTGCATGTTTTCAGAAAGCCCTCCCACAATAATGACTAGTAATTGCATACCTTTCATTTTAGTAATTAAAAATTAACTGTTGATAATTTAGTTTCCTTTCTGATTGTTTAAAAAATTTTAATATGATTCTCTATTTCATTAAAAAAAAAAAAAGAATCCCTTAGAGAATTGGATTTGCTTTTTGGTATTTAATCTGCTGTGGGCTTCCTACCTCTCTCTTTCTCTCTGGAAAGTTGGCAGTTATTTTCTACTTGTATGAATAGGAAGTATCTTTTACTTCGGTGAGAATTGTTTGTTTATTTGGTTTTATAAGTAGATTATTGGATTGTTAGGCTTAAAGTTTTGTTTAATTGTTAAAGAATTGTGAACTCCTTAGTGATTTTTGTTTAACGGGTACAGTAGACATTCAGACAATTTTGAGAACATTTCTTTATGGACTCTCTGCATTTTAAGTGGTTTTTCCATGATATCGTTAGGTTGCACCATCCTACCATCATATGCTTGTTTGGGTTTCTTGTGGTTAAGAGCTGCTTAGAGGTAGAAAAGCCATTATTAGAATGTGGAGGGTCAAGCCAATAAGCTTGGCTCTTGTTATTTGAGACTCAGTATTTCATGTAAGAGCTACTGTTTGGGTAATGAAAATTACCTTGTAGAGCTTGACTTGTAGGTCAGATCTGAAATTCCTTAAAATAATTCCTAAATTGGTGATTATAAGTTAGGCACTGATTAATTATAGACTATAGGATGTTTAGAAAAGGAATTATAGTTTGCCAGACCAAGGTTGGATTGACTATTAAAGAGTACACGCTTTAATTTGTCATGGACTCGGTGCTGTACCTAACTTGGTCTACTATAATCTTGAGTTTTAGATATTGAAGACATGACAAAATGAACTCTTAGTTATTTAAATTAGGCTCTTCAGTTGGTTTTCACTCTCTTTTTTTGTGGGGGGAGGGTATGTGTGTGGTACTGGGATCTGAACTCGGATTCGTACTTGCAAAGCAAGTGTGCTACCACTTGAACTGCATTTCCAGTCCATTTTGCTCTGATTATTTTAGACATGGGGTATCAGTGGACAGAGCCACCCAACTACAATGAAGGTGTCTTAATCTGAGTCTTAATTAGGAGAGAAGTCTGCAGTAGTCGGAGTAGGAAATGCTTGTGGATTTATTTTGCGGTTTTACAGTGCTTTTTGTTTTGAGTTTTCTACTTGTGCTTTAAAAACATTTTTTATTGTTGTATTGGGGTACATTGTGCCATTTACAAAAGTTTTTACAATATATCTCAGTTGAATTCACCCTCTCTACAGTAGGGAAAGATTAGTATAAAGGATTATTAAATATAATGGGATTCGAGTAGTGATGGACTGACTGAAAAGAAAGAACTCTCAAGAACCTAAGAATAGCAAATATAAGAGCAGTTGCTTCTCTTAGGTATAAAAGGCATTGTGATCTTGTGCCAGTAGAATTGATTAAAAGTCCTTGCTCTGAAACCTGGTAGGAGTTTTTGGAATGTTATGAAAGCTGGCTTGGCCACCACTGATCTCCTGTTAGCCGGAATCTGCCGCAGTACACACTGTTTTAAGACTTTCATAGTTTCTCTGTTTGCCAGAGATGATTCAAATAACATTGGATTTTTTTTGGATTATGAGTCTCTAATGTTAGAGCAGAATTTTATTTTCCCTTCTTCCCAGCACAAAATTGGAAACTTCCAGGGTGACTCTGAGGTCAATCAAGGTAGCACACTCAAATATAGTATGTATTGCTATGCTTCCTAAACCCGTAAAGACCTACCAAATCTTGTGCTGCTTTTTCATAGCAATCTTAGGTGAGACACTGCTCACACTGGGCTAAGATGTAGACCTTTTTGATGAGATATGCTATGGCTTGCTGAGTGACATTGGTGTCATGTCAGTGAAATTTACTGGAAATCTACCTTCTGGAACTTGCTAGAATTCTTCCCTCTGTGGTGCTGAAGGGAAACTGTTCACAGGGAGGTTTCTTAGAAGAGTCTCTTGGCTACAGACCTTCCACAGAATACCAGAAATAGCAGATGGCTACTGGGTGCTGCTGCCTGCAGTGTTTCAGCAGAAAAGCCTGGCACTGAAGAATTTGTACCCATCAGAAGAGCTGGTTGGTCACTGGAAAAGTCAAATTTTGGAGAAAGTGTCCTATGCCAAGCCCAAAAGAACCAGGAGGCAAACCTTTTCCTCTATATGTTCTCTACTGATTAAACTTAACAGTTTGCCAGCAAAACATAGAAATAATTATAGAACAAAGACCTTTTTCATATCACAGGCAAACTGGGTGAATTTTGAGCTGAAAGGCAAGCAATATAATTGGCAGATAAAGAGAGTTTTTTTTTTTCTTTTCTTTTTTTTTTTTTTCAGTTTTACAACTTGATTTCCACTCAGCTGTTAGTTCTCATCCACATTGACTGCAGATTTTTGCATGTGGTAGTAGGAACATCGGTCACCAAAGTATAGAGCTTGTTTGTTAAGTCTTCATCCTCATTATGTTTTCTGGGTAACCGCCCACGGATACGATATGGTAAATTCCTTACTCCTTTGGCTCAGACAACTTTGTTGAGCCTGGTATCAGTGCGCACATCGGGAGTCCCCATCTCTTTCATGGCAAATTTTCGGATCTCTTTGAGTGCCCGAGGGGCACGCTTCTTAAAGCCCATTGCGTGGATCCGCTTGTGAATGTTGATGGTGTATTCTCGGGTCACCACCTCGTTGATGGCAGAAGGCCCTTCTGGCCACCCTTCTTTGCGGGAGCCATTCTGCCTGGCCAAAGATGGAAGGGCGAGGTGTTTTTTTTTTAACCCCATTTAAAATTATTACTTGTTTCTATTTGTTGGTCCAAGGCACTTAAATTTTATGAAAATCAGGGCTTCTTAAAAATGCATAGTTTGCATTTAAGAAGGGATGTTCCCTTGGTGGGGTCAGTTGTTGGGGTCAAAGTGCTGCTCTTTGCAGTGTTTAGCTTGCTTCTTGTGTATGCGAGTGTGCGTGAATACGTGGGAAAAGGGCTACCAGATAGTATCATGTGGTCCTTTGAGGTCTTTTTTTTCCGGGATTGTGCCTAACGTGATGAATAAACCCAATAAGTCACACATAGTTCACTGCTCTTTTTTTCCCTCCTTCCTTTCAATCGAGAAGGCTTAGAGCTTCCATCTCTCTTCTTACATATATCTGTTGATTGAATGAGGAAGTTTTTCTAAGTTGGCATTCTTAAAAAAATGGACAGTTTTGTGGGACATTTAGTCTCCCTAGACTTAACTGTTGAAATAGTCCAAGGATCATAATGGAAAACATTGTATGTATTCCATGTGTGGAATGAAATAAGCGTAGGTTTTAGGACTGGGTCCGTCCCTTTCTGGTTAAATGATGTTGGACAAATGATTTACTATGTTTAGAACTTGTTTTCTTCATCTGTTATATAGGGGAAAATTAGAACTTTCTGTTACTTTAAGGGAGTTATGATGATTATGTCAAATCCTGTCACAGCAGGGTAGGACTGTTGCTCAGTTGCTGAGTGTTTTTGCTAGCATGTGCTAGGCCCTGGGTTCAATCCCCAGCACTGGGGAAAAAAAAAAGAAAGAAAGAAAAAATATCTTAATAGGATAAACTAAATTCACTAAGTGGAATTTTTAAAAATTTTTATGCTTGTGAGACTTAGTTTTCAACAATTATATATGCATGCATGTGTATGTGATTTTAGCCTTGCCTGCTTATCTTCTCCCTCCTCACTCTCATCTTCTCCCTTTCTCCTTCTCATCTCTTTCCTCCCTCTTTTGCCATCTCCCTTCTCTCTCCTCCCTCTCTCTTCCTCCTCCTCCTCTTCTCATCTTGCTGTCTTTCTCTTTTCCCCAGTTCTGAGCCTGAAGGCCAGAGTCTTGCTTATGGTAGGCAAGTGCTTTACCACTGAGCTGCAACCCTAACCTTCCAATTTTGCCACCTGTATGGTGTTTCTGTGAAACTCAGAAACTGTCCCCAACAGTTGTAGATGCCTTCCAGGTCTTTGCCTCTTCCCAATGGTAGGATATAATTAGGGGCCAGGCGTGGCCATTTTCTGTTTGCAGTAATATATTTTATTATTGTGTACACAACTATTAAATTCAGCCAGCTGAGGAGAAATTGACTTTTAGCCATACATCCTTTTTGATGTGGCAGTCTCCTTTTCCTCTGTAAGTTGAATTCTTTTATCCAAAATAGCTACCTGTGTATGTGTATGACTAATATTTGACAATCATTCTACTAGAATCTAAGTGAAAGAAGGTAATGTGAAAAAAGGGGAATTAATAACTTTGAAATATAGAAGATAGAAAATGTAGGAAAATTTGTTCCCAATCTTCTGTTTTTTTTTTTTTTCCTGTTGCTAGGAATTGAACTCAGCCTCTCTGAAGCTTGTTAGACAAACACTCTACCACTTGAGCCATGCCTCCCCAGTTCTTTTTTGCTTTCAGTTTGTTTTTCACATAGGATCTGTTTTTTTTTTTTGTGGTACTGGGGTTTGAACTCAGGGCCTACACTTTGAGCCACTCTGCCAGCCTTTTTTTTTGTGTTGGGTATTTTTGAGATAGGGTCTTGTGAACTATTTCACAAGCTGGCTGGCTTTGAACTTCAATCCTCCTGATCTCCGACTCCTGAGTAGCTGGGATTGCAGACATGAGCCACCAATGCCTGGGTCACATAAGATCTTGTACTAATTTTGCCCAGCTGGCCTAGGACCATGATCTTCCTACCACCTCTGCTTCCTGAGAGCACAGGTGTACACCATTATCCCTAGCTTTGCAAACTTTCTTTGTATCATTGTTAACAATCTCATCACCTGGTTATATCCCTCCAAGATGAAACTTTATATATAT